GAGCAGAAGTTGAAAAATAGTTAGCTTTTTCCAACGGTGGTCGGCCGACCACTGTTGGAAATTTATACAAAAATACCACTTTTCTTGAAAATGACTTCACACCAGGTGCCATAATTTTACAGGATGCTTCAGACTGTCATTTACCAACATCCTAGAAAGGTATTTCGTAAAAATTTGGTAGTTTTGTTTTTCGATGTTTGCAAATGTTGTATATTCCCTTTAAACCTACTCAAGTAGTTGGGCAGATAGGGAAATATTTAGGGGAATTGTGCCTTTGATGATACAAGCGTGGCATTTGGCATACAGTCAGCGTACGTCATGAGAAAGATATTTGACTATACAGCCATCACAGATTTGTCCAAGCCCGTACCATGAAAGGCACAAATCCCATCACCTATCTGCCGTACTAAAAGGTGAACAACACTACATATACAGAAACCTGGGACAGAGATCAGAACCTAAAGAACGGATCAATGAGACTATTTTTGTTTTAAAAAAAAATCGTTTCTGCCTCAACGAGTCCCCCGCAAATTCACATCAAGCATGGCGTGACGAGCGGGGACGACATCGCATTAGGCTATAGGGGCCGACTCTACAAGCTGCTGATCTGGCCAAGTTCTAGAAAAATTAATTTGACCAAATTTGTCTCATTTTTTAGGAGTTCAAATGTACATTTAGGGGATATATATGTCCCCCCAAAAAAAAGAAAAACCAGACGGCGAAAGAAATCTTATATATTCCAACAGCTATAAATGCACAAATTTCCTTCTAATTCTCTCGAGAAATTATGAAAATACATGACATGCCCCCTCTACAAAAAAGAACTACTTGCCCCAGGTTTTCAGTTAAGCAATCGCACATGAATTGTACGCAGCCATTTCAAGGTTCAAAGTTCACAGCTCAATTTCAAAACATTTTTTGTTTGTTTGTACATGTATTTTTTTTATTTTCTGAGTAGTCAGAATTCCCTTGTTGGGTCCCCTGCTGAGCCTATCAGTGCAATAGAAGCTGGGACGACACCTAAGGCGTCTGACTCTCTGGCCTTAGTCGTCAATATTTCAGATCAAATTCAACGGCGGGACAGAATTCCCCCGCCAACAGATGAAAGATTATCGCAAAACTGTTAGTGGGGGAGGTTTCTTTCCGCATGTTCAAATTCTGAGGGGGGACAAACAGGAAAAGGCAAAACAAACAGATTCGGTGTGTATAGGCTACAGGTTATTTTGCTGTTTGGATTGGGGGTATTTTCTTCTCAAAGACCCCTAGTAGTGCACTACAAATTCAGTTCTCTGGCAAGGAATGCAAAAAAAAAAAAAAAAAAAACTTCAACTACGAACATACACTTTAGAGTAAAATGTTGATATTGTCTGCAAGTTTCCTCTTAAAAGGTGGTTTTTCTATTTTTATTCCACTCCTGGTGAAATACTGAGAAAAATAAGGTCTAAAAGCCACAGCCCGTGAAAATAAAACATCACTCTCAAGACTCCAGTTCAGCTTACATTAGTTAAAACCAAACCATGTCTACTGTTTTTCTCCAAGAATCTTATGTTTTCATTCCAGCATGTCCCCAGCAACCTTGCTGTAAGAGCCGGGACGACAATGCTGCATTCACCATGACTCTAAGAGGATTCTTATAAAAACGCTGAATTTTTAAAAGGAAATCTGTGTGGGTCTTCACAGCGCGATCTGAAGAACTCTTGCAAATGCACATTATTCATGGGAATACCACCCCCTTCCTTTCTCTTTAACTCTTTCTCTCTCGGAGAAATTTGCCTATCTCTCGAAAAAAAGGACTCTCATTTGCAGCCAACGTGTCGTCTGGCGCCGTGGGGCCCACAGCTGAATTCATGATACGTCTTGGGGGACCAACAGGGGGGAAAAAAACACACACATACTACTGACCGCAGATAGATTTGGTGTGAAGCGCAGTCACATTGGTTAAGAAACAAAGATATAAGGCATCAGAGGACTGGACAGATATAGAAATAGATGGTGACAGGAATGGAGTTTTGGGAAAAATGAGACAAAGTGATAAGGGATGACAGATATGTCAGCAGGCTAGATGGGTCAAGTTTCGTGAACGCTTGTACGTGCTCAGTGGGTCTTATGGCAGTGTTGTAGTAGAGTACTTTTTCATGAGTACGAGTAAAAGTACGAGTACTTTTCCATGAGAACGAGTACAAGAACATTGAATTTTTCTTCTCACAAGTACGAGTACTTGTACATTTTCATGAGTACGAGTTAGAGTACGAGTATGGAAAAAATGAACTCGAGTATGAGTATGAGTAACACTTAACTTTTGCATCTCTACGTATGCACGTCACAGATGCAGTGGTTGAACAATTCTTTCTGAACTTTAGAGCATTTTTTTTGTCCATACATCATTTTTTTGTCCATACATGAACAACAATGTGATGAAAACAAACATGAAATGGCAGCCCTCCCCTACGGAAAAACAACATTGGCACCTCAGATTCCTCTCCAAACACCCATCAGGCTTATTTTGTCAATATTATCAAACTTGAGAACATGTCTTGTGCTGTCTCGTAGCTCCCCCTGCCACTCTCATCCCCCAGGTAACCCAACAAGAAATCTACAGACAAGGACAGCTGCTTGGCAAATCTTGGGGGGGGGGGGGGGGGAGAGAGAGCGGAGACTGTCAATCAAAGAAATAGACACTGACATGTCCTCCATGCAACTGTCAGTATTGTGTGAAAAAAAGACCACTGCACACTGCAATTGGAGCAGTGCTGGCAACCGTTCCCGGCTAGACTTACAAGTATCGGTTACAGTGGCTAAATATAGCGTATTGTCAGAGTTACACAAGACGGAGAAAAAAACTGCAGCTCGCAGACTGGTTGCAAACACCTGTGGCTTAATGACAAAACGAACATGACCAAACACTGACATACGATACTTTGGCTCGAAATACAAATCCTGGCAGCGATTTCGCCTGGCGAAATTCTACAATTTTAAGCCAACACCTGAAGGCACTTTGAATAAAAGATTCTACTTCTTGTAGAGTACTTGCAAGGAAGGAATCACCGACCTAAAAGATTGTATTTCTAAAATTCACAAAAGGTTGGCATCTCTTTAAAAAAACTATAAAAGGCGTTGACTTATCACATTTGTTTATCTACATTTAGAGCTATTCATTTTTGCATGCATACAACTTTGCATAAAACTTTTTTTTTTGCTGGCAAACCATATTGTGGATTTAGCAGAGAGCATGGCCTATGCATATTGCATACTGCACTGTACCATGAAGCAGATGCATGCATGCTCATATCAGATGGCACTTAGATGGTACGCCAGTGTTGTGTGAAGTACACAGACAAATGCTGTTCATTTGCAAGGGCATGCACGATGTTCAATGAACCCTCAGTTTAAAAAAATTGGCAGGCAGTAAAATCTGCAAATATGCATATGTAGGTACATTGTACATGTACATGTACATGTAACATAAAAGTGCGACTACATTGCAGGTATACTCACATCTGTGAATGGGGCTAAGGCCAAAAAAAAAAAAATTTGGTCTCTGGTCAGACCAAAGATCTGGAATTGACGCGGCCATGCGGCTTTTTTTTTTTTTTTTTGCTTTTTTTTTTTTTCTTCAAGCTTGGATTGTACAGACAAGGTGGGTACTATTTTGTTTTTTTGGTGTCCTCATGTACATTGGTGTCCTCCATAATTTGCCTTGGTGCTTTCAATCATTTGCCTTGGTGCAATTTCCCATTCCTTGGTGCTCTTTGGTAAAAAAAATTGAGGTGCGGAAATAGAGGGCGCTGTTGGAGCTGCCGCGGAACATTTTGGAAAAAAAAAAGATCGACGTGCATGATTTAAATCGACGCGCGCGCTGACCAGAGACCGACATTTTTTTTTTTTTGGCCTAATATGTGCAATGTTTGTCCTGAACACACTGGTCCTAATTAGAGCTTTCCATTCAGATTTATTTCTGTATCTACCGGTACATCTACATAAGGGCAATTCCACGGTTACTCACGTTACATTTTCGTAACGCGAGTAACCGATTTTGTGCATCTTGTTTATCGTACATAACACGTTTTTCTGGATGTCATCTTTGGTGCTTAGGTAGGTCTAGGTCTACTCTATCTACCATGGGGATAACAGTTATCAAACCTTTTCGGTAAGGTAATTACAGCCCAAGGAAACTCAAAAGTACATCAAAAATGTAACGTGAGTAACCGTGGAATTGCCCTCAAGCTGACCTGGCTTTGCACACACACAAACAATAGCACTCCGCACTAATGTTAAAAATAGAAGCAAGTACCCGAATCTCAGACAAGCATGCTGTACAAACTTCTCGCATGAAGATTACACGCATGCTTGCAGCAGCGTTTCTATGCGAATGCATGCGGCCAGGTCTGCATGCATGTGCGCGTGTGATTGTTCGAAAGTTTGTCTGACATGCGGGGTTGCGCGTACAGCGCGGAGCAAAATTGCATCATTAGTGCGGAGTGCTATTGATTTTTGCAATATTTATCTACGCCAGGACAAAATACCAGAACGAATATGGACAGCTAATAAATCAATACATTTCAAATTGTGGATGAAACAGTAGACACGTTATTGTTGACGAAACAGCCTAAATGTATGTGTAGGGCTACAGCGCTGAAAATGCCAGTAGCTTTTTCCCCATGTTGACACAGACTATGGCCTTGTTAGTTTTTCACACTTCTTAATGCACTGACCGCATTGAATACAATGTGTACACGTAACTGGCTCGCTGCCTGCTCAAGTACCACTGCTGTTTGACTATCCGCTTTGACCTTAATATAACATGACACAATATCAACAAATGACTGTCTTTAAATTGGACCAGTTACAAAGAAAATACATACCAGAATGAATAAAGAAAAAAAAAATCACTCAAGATGTGTAACTGTATCCCCGACTATATCCAAATATATTTAAAAGAAAAAGGAAAAAGAAAAAAAAAAGGAGAGAAAAAAAATGATACCAAAATGACATCATCTGGCAAAAAATTCTCTCAGTACTGATTTAGTCCAGGCAATGCCACTGTATACACATGTAGAATACTTTAAAGACAGTACTGTTAATGCATGTACATGTACAAACAAAAGCTGTACGAGAACTTATACAAGTAGGTCTACTTCATGAAATTGTCGTTACCGTTTTGGTTAATAATGATAAATAAACGAGAAAAATCACTAAGACATGACCTGCTTCTCCATGGGAGCTCCAAACCATGATTTTCAACAGCAGGTGCAGTACGTGAGTCACTGTGTCAACTGAAATGCATTAACATCACTGACAAATAATGCGGATGATCCACTTTTGCAGGGGAAATGATGCTAAAAAAAATTCCAAGATGTACATGTACAATGTATGTAGCGCTCTTAAGAGCTATATCATCCAGACCTTACATATCCTGCTTTGCTTAGCCAAACCTGGTAGTCTACTCCCAGGCACCGCTGTCGTTCTCGTGCTCCCCTTCCCCAGCGGGACTAGCCACTGCCATGCTCTTGAGGGCAGTCTTCATACTATCCAGTAAGGAGCCCAGCCCCTTGCTGCGTCTGGAGGGCTGGGCAGTGCTGCTTGTCATCAGGGTGGGCATGGAGGAGGCACTCAGCTTGCGCTGCAGCTGCTGAGTCTCCAGCTCGGACACGGCCTCCTGACGGGAGTCTCGCCGAGTGCCCCGCTGCCGTATCTCATCCATCAGGTCCTTGCGGGACAGGATGGAGTCCGAGGCAGACTCTGTCATGCGAGGCAGGATTCTCGAGATTAGGTCCGGCGGACTCTTGGCACTTTGTGCCTGTTTTGGCAAACTGTCTTGACTTTTGTTACCTGGAGTAGTGGACTTAGACTTGGGTTTGATAGCACTGACTTTACTGGATGTCTGCTGAGCATCGGATCCTGAAGGACTTTTCGACACAGTTTTGTTACTTTTTTGTTCATTCGGGTGTCTTGAGTTTCCCTGGTTGCTTGCTCCTGTTTTCAACAATTGCCTGCTTTTGTCAGCATCAGTCACATTCCCATTTGGAAGGCTCGTACCTCTTCCAGTATCCACACTATTTCCAGCAGTTGCATTTGAAGCCACATATTGCGGCTGTTCAAAATCAAATTTGACCCCTTTGTCTTCTCTGTTCAGAGTGCCATTTGGACTTGGGGAGGGACTGTTCTTCGGGCTCCTCTGTCTGTTCTGAGTTTGCAATTCCTCATAGGGAAGACCAAGATCTCCTGTTCTTGAGTTAGTCCGTGGGTTAGCCATGGCCGACCTCAAATCCTTCATTGTTACAATTTTCCTGCTGTCTGGGCTACTCTCCTGTGCTTTGGCACCTTCTTCCTGGATGGTACCTGTCCTAATTCCAGAGTAAAGCAGCTCTGCATTGTTGGATGGTCTCTGTGATTTCGGCTGCACATTGAGAGCAGAGCATGCTGATTGACCCTTGCGGGAATTCGATTGTTGCTGAAGAAGCATTTTGAAATCATCCATGGGAGTTTGCGGCTTTCCAGACAAGAGGCATATCTTGACAGGTGTATGCTCAACATCTACCATATCAGAGAATGTGATGCTTCGTATTGAGTTCAGGGAACTCACCGAGTCTGTTGGGCTCATGGTTTGACCATGTCTGCCAGATGGCGTGAACAGATGCTTCGTCCCATTGGATTTGGTCTCGTTGAGGGACGCATCTCCTTGCTTCCTCACCTTGAGGATGGAGCTCTTTGGTCTTAGGTTGGGATCATAGACGTAGGAGTCATCCATGTCCATGGAAGGGACATGGCTGAACGAATTGCCACACATGTCCGAGTCATACATTGAACGGTAGGCTATGCTGTTCCTGCTGAAAGGTTGGGCATTCGGCACCCAGATGTTGTCGCCCTGTGTCTGTACTGGAGAGGGTGCATTGGCTCTTTGCCTCTTTTGCAGCAACTGTTGTTCCATCTGCTCAGCTGCTCGTATGATAGCAAGGTCTGGGTCCAGGTTCTCAGACTCCACACTGACGTGATAGGTACTCCTGAATGATGCCTTCCCGCCTGATTCCTCATCGCGATTATGCACCTGCTCCTGGACTGCCACATTCTCATGAATTCTTCCCAATTCGTGTTTGGGAGGATCCTCAAATTTCTTGCTGCTTGGTTCCGGCAATGTTGGAGAGCTTGCCACTTTGTTGTTCTTGGTTCTCCGCAACATGTTCAAAATCTCTTCCCTCTGCTCCCGAGTCAGAGCCTGAGTCCCATTCCCAGACGCTGATTCTTTCAGGCTGTTGATAGAGTTATAGTTCTGGGGTGCCTGGTTTTGAACGCTGCTGACATAGTCCTGGAAACGTTTGCGTTGAAGGGTATCCATTCCTTTCTTAGCCTGCGAAGCTACTGTAATTCCTTCAGGTGTACTAGCCTCTGATAGTTCATCAGAAAAGAATCCCTTGGAAACTGGCATGTCTTCAGAAACAGTTTTACTGCTCTCTTGATTCTGCTTTCCAGCTGATTTCTTCAAAGCGTCTGTTTCATGTTTTGGCCTCCGCTTCAAAGTGTTGTAATTCTCAGGGTACACACCAATGGGAGACACTATCTCCTCGTTCTCCAAAGCCTCGTCCTGTAAACTTTGCTCTTCAGAGTTTGTGACCCCCTTTGTTGCATCACTGGCAATGCCATGGTTGACAGTACTCTCAGCTCGTGAAATTCCAAAGAACTTGTCGCGTGCGTTCAGCATCTTGATTTTGCCCTCATGGGTGGGGGAATCCTGGGTGACAGTCGGCTGGGGCAAACTCAGAGGCTGAGCCTGTGACACTCTGGGAAGGACTGAGCTGGAGGGTTGGATGACCTGAGGTCTGAACTTTGCCACTGAAGCTTGTTCCTGAAAGGGAGCCATTGAGGTAGAAGTGCTCACAGTGACGTTTGACACACTAACGACAGCTCCTGAGGAGGTAGCAGCCTGTTGATTACCTGCGAAGCCCTTAGATACCTCCGTGGTCCAGGCATCAACCCTACAGGGTTGAGTTCCCTGGGAGCCGCTCAACTGACTGTCCAAGCTCTCCAGGGATTTAGAGCTACCACCAAAGCACAGCTTGTACATGGCCGGGTCCGTGGGAGTCTGAACAGGGGTCAGTGTGGGGGTGGTAGTTGTGTCACTGCCGATGGTGCTGGCCTCTGAGGCAGTGTCCGTGAGGGAGGATGGTGAGATGCTACGGTCATCATCTTGATGGGATGATGGTAGCAATAGACTCAAGGATTTACGCCCTCCTGGAGATAAAACACAACAACTTATAATTAATGAAAAAATATGACAACAAATACATCTTCCTTTATAAACGAGTATCGATACTTCAACACCACAGATTCTGAAACTGACAATTTTCAATTCATGTTCCCATCTAGTATCTTGGTTTCAGAAGAAACTTGTCTGCTAGGGAACGGTGGTTGTCCTTCCAAGGTAAAAGTTGCACAATATCTATTTATGGACTAGTCTGCTGTGCAGCTATTTCAAGTAACTCACTAACTACGAGTAACTCACTTAATAATATCTCACTAATTGGGTACAAAATTCCTGCATTTTTATACCTACCCACTTCAATTTGAGTTCTGTCCTTTTGCCGGGTGCCGAGTGAGTGATCCAAAGAAACAGAATTTATTCGAATTGGCGGAGGGGGTGGTCTCTTCTTCTGATTGGTTGATACTGGCACCACAGGTGCAGCAACGGCCAATGAGGTCCTTTTGGGTTTAGGCTGAACAAATGGAGGTTCATTTTTTAGGTTTATTGGTACAGGCTCCTTGGTGAGACTTGATTTGCGCTTCTTGATGCGACGACTTGGAAGGCCACAGTCCGAGTGCATGGACGTCCAGTATCCCTCGTGATCCACAGAGTGACCTGAGGTGCTGTCAGAGTCAACAAAGTCACTGTTGACGTCAGCAAGGTAGACCTCCAGGTCTATGCTGCTGTTGTCAGACATGGCCGAGGAGCTGGCTGGGTTCTCTGATGAAGAGGAGGAATCAGAGAGTGTGTCTGAGGTGAAGATGACCTCACACTGCCCTTTGGGGGACTTCCTGGCAGGGGCAACGTTCCCAGCTTCTGGGGGCATTCTCCGAACAGTCGCTGCTCCTACACTCTGCAACCAGGAGTCCGTGTCCATGTGCGTGAAACCGCTGTGGACAACATTAGGACTGTTGGTAGGGGTCGACGATTCACTGCTGGATTCTCCCGTGGAGGCATAAGTGTGATTACCCGGACGGTCCGATTTTCCTCGGCTGTGCTTGCGGTCCAGACCCTTCAAGCCCCCATTAAACTTGGGAAACGATATGTTCTCACTGGACAGGGACACAGCAGAGTCTGAAGGGGATGTTGTGTTGGAGCTCGAGAAGTCGTAGTTCAGAGAATTCCCGATGTCAGAGTTCATGGACGTCCTTGCACTGTCTGTTCCACTCCAGTTACCAGAACTGGACTGCCGTTCCTCCCTTTTGGCTGTTGGTTTAGTGTTCCGTAATTTGACCTTTGTGGAGGGGAGGCGTGCCTGGAGTTCATTTAGCGGGAGGCCGTCTGGGGCATCCCCACTTCCTGCCGCAGGTTTTCGCATGTTGATCGTCATCGTAACTGACTTGGTTGGAATGAATGCATTGGGCACAGTTCTGTTGGAGGTCACATAGAGTTTTTTGTTGGATGGTTGGGCAGGGGACAGCGGTAACAGGGGGGCTTGAGATTGAGGGGCTGTACCAGGAGGTAAAGCTAGAGATTGGGGGCGTCTGTGGGCTGGTCCAGGCCAGGCCTTGTCATCAGAGCATGAGGAGTAACCTGCAGGGGGAAAAAATGGAATTTTTTATTTTCGGAATTTAAATTTATATGCAAGGTATACTTTATAGACAATAAAATCAGTAAAATGATTTTAATCCTGGCTTTTACAGCATCCAATAATAGCCACTGGTGTAACAACCATGCTAGACAGGTTTTTTTAACTTTGGGCCAAATGTTTCACGACAGAAAACAACTAAAGATTTGTTGACTACTGCTGTGCAAGCCATGCTCCACTCAAATGATTAAATCCCGAGGAACCTGAAATTACCTTGGCTTGGACTTGGAGTAGGGACATTGGTTTGAACAGGCAATGCCACCGAGTGCCTATCCCTGCCACCAGCCTTGGCTTCCTGCTTCTTATCCTGCTTGGACTGGTGATGATTCTCCCTCCACTGTTGGAGACCAGGGAAGACGAGGGGTCCGGGCAGACGCAGTGACCTGGGCCGGCGTCGCGTCCTGATCGGGGTGACCACTGCAAGGCCTGCTGCCGGAGACTCAACCGGTTTGACCTGCCGGAAGGCCCGACGGTCCAGGCTCATGGTCTTAAGGATATCCACGTCATTCTCCTGGTCCGTGGACCTGCCATCCCCTTCCCCGGCAGACTCTGTCTGGAGCTCTGCCTGGACCTCATCGGGGATTCCCGAGATGGTCCTCCTCCATCGCTTCTTCTTCGCCTTCTCCAGTTTCCGTCCCATGGAGGTGAGGGACCGGCGAAAGGTCTGCATCCGCTCAAAGCCTGTGCCTGACGTGTCAACGTTAATGACCATGGACTGGGTGACGTTCCGACGCATGACCTCTTCCGGGGTCGGGAGGGTACCTCGGTTCGGAGGGACATAATCGTCCAAGAGATCGCCCTCTGACCGGGGGCGTGCTGGGAGCTTGGTGTAAGGGAGGAGGGGTTTACGTCTTCTCTGCTCGTTGGAATCATAGACAGTAGGCTGAAGAAAAAGAAAGTAAAAGTGGTTTTTATAATTTGTAATATATTACATTTGTTTCCACTGAAATGGCAAATAAGCATGTGATATCTTAAGTCAAGTAAAAAAAGTATCCAAAGAAGACAACACTTTCACTCAATGTATTAATGAAAAAGTTAGTGGTTAGAAACATTAGCAATGAATAATACTTGACAAATCAACAGTTGACAGATGACACGTGAATATATGCCACAAGGTGCACAATATAGAAATAGATTTCATATAGACTTTTTTTTCATGACAAGATACAAAGCAACTAATGTGGACTGTGGCACACGCGATGTTTTTCAAAATTGGTCGATTGGTACACAAAAATTGATAAGCAATACCATGAAAGGCAGACTTGTTAAAAAGAAATATGTGAATTTGGTTGCATTGGACATAAGAAAAAGAAAGAACTTTCACAAATGGGCACAATTGCGTGGAAAAGCAAACATTTTTATTTTTGCAAGCCCGATTCCACACCGAAAAAGCTGAAATCGGCAACAATCCATTTCACACTGATTTTCTTCAACTGCTCTATACCCTCCATTGTCTAAACAGCCCTTGGTCATGCAAACCACTGACATTTCCATTTTGCAGCAAATAAAAGTCATTTCAAGAGAAGTGTGCGAGAGGGGGAAAAACGCAAAACAACCAGTAACCACTAGCGACCGACGTCACCCATGAATTTGCTACCAGAGGTGCTGGTCTGAGGCTTGTCAACACAAGATCAGTGCTGGGTCAAAGGAGTGCCCCTGGTCATCTCAATTTCATGGTTCTGATTTGGGTGCCACAGGGCTAGGGCAACTTTTTTCGCCCTATAATTTATAAACACTTCTTGTCACGCAGTACAGCAGTGTTCTTTGCACTGTGTGGCTTCTTTAACCAGAATATAACCTTCCTATATCCTCCAAAATCCTCTTTGCATAATTGAGAGAGAAATTTCAAAGGATTGAGGCTTTAAGGCAAAAGTGTGCAGTTGATTTTGGAGGATGCATTGTAATGCCCAATTTCATAGAGCTACTTAAGCAGAAAATTTGGTTAAGCACGAAAAAACATTGCTCAGTAAAATTAGGTTACCGGCCAAAACTCCATGAGATGTACATTGCTTGTGACTGGTATTTAGCGGTTGTTTACTTAGCATAACAATCGCATGGAGTTTTGGCCGGTAACCAGATTTTATTAAGCAAAACGTTTTTGTGCTTAAGCAAATTTTGTGCTTAAGCAGCTCTATGAAATTGGCCCCAGAATATAGCCTTCCTATCTCCTCCAAAATCCTCTTTGCATAATTAAGAGAGAAATTTCAAAGGATTGAGGCTTTAAGGCAATAGTGTGCAGTTGATTTTGGAGGATGCACTGTGTCAAGGTTATAGGCTGTACCTTGTGAACTGCTTGCCATGCATACATTTCAAGGCCCAGATTATACATGTACGGTACTTGAAATCATGTATACTTCTGGATACAATCCGCGCAGCCTCAATATACACAATGAATGTTTGAGGATTTTGCAGGACTCGAAGCAGTGGTCACCCCTCCAATGAACAAATTTAACAAATAACGGATGATTTTGGAGGATTGAAGCTGTATCCAAATGTTTGACATGGAGGCAGTGGATGATTTTGAATGATTGGGGATGCATCCTAGCAAAAAGGCCCAGGGGGTAGGGTTAAAGAAATCACCTTTATGCCATTTCCCAAGCAAAGTTTGCTTGGGACAGCGAGCAAATCAAAAACGCTTCAAAGCCTCCACACAAATACATGGCTTCACTTGGCTGGCAAAATTTAATCGATATCCACTGTTCAAACAGAACGAATGGGGACTTTACTTTTTTCTTTAGTTTACTGTGATAATAGAACAATTAAATTACAGTTTTCTGCATTTTTTTGTTGGCGTCTACAAACGGCTGTCCTAACAAGCAAGGCATTCTCCGAATAAAACACATACATACCATCAAAAGAAACCAACAAGTTTCGTGTGCGATGAACAGACAGGTATGATGAAACATCGCCATGGAAACATGCGAGTTTTTGAAAAGGGGAAAAAAGATGAAAGACAAACTTGGGTTAGCCACATGCACAGTGTCAGTATTTTTAAGAAAAGGTTGGGGGACGGGTGAGTTTTATAAAAAAAAAAAAAAGAAGCTTAATAAGAACACATGGACACAAATTTTCAAGATCTGGGATATGCGGATTAAGAAGAATAACATGTAATGATGTTAAGAGATGGTTTAAGAAAGTGGGGTCATTTCATAACTTGGTAGGAACAAGGCAATTCCTACTGTGGGAGCTGGTATCCTACAACTACCCGGTACATGTACATGAACATGTATACGTATGATCTGATACACCGTGCCCTCTGGAGACGTGTGTCAATAGGGAACAAAAGATTGTATACGTCTCCACAGGGCAATTTCTATAGATGAATGAGTCTCCACAAGGTTTTCACGAAATAGATATGGATTGAACTAAAAAAAACTAGGAATTTCCAAGGTGGGTTGATCTGTCCCAAATGGAAGAGTTTTAGAAAAGGGATATATTAAGTCCAAATTTTAGCCAAGGAAATTAATTGTGGTTAAAATAAGAGCATTTTGAAACTTCACTTTCAAATTCGAAAACTTTACTACACGCGAACAAAGAAATGTCTCCACAAGGATACAAATTTCAGTATGTGTGTACATTACATGTAGCAACTATTTTTTCTTAAGGAAGAACTTTATTGATGCTACCTACAAAGTACCGTACATGTACGGTATGTAGAAGAGCTATTACAAGTAATTGGTCTACAATACCGGCACTTGTGCAAGAAATCTGCACAACCTTTGAGTACATTTGTAAGTACCAGTACTTACAAGCTAAGAAATAAGAAAAATTGCCAGGGTTCTTACTAAGGTCTCCAACTTTTTTTTTTAAGCTTTATGGCTAACCAAGTCCAGGACACCGGCCCCATAAACCAATCACCTTTGATTTCTCCAAGCATTTCAACGACCCCATATTACTTGGACAGTCACTCATAATCAACCCAGCATGCAGTACTTTAAGTAATAGAACCCCCAATGTGTGCAGATGGAGGCTAATTTACTGAATGGGTGCAATGGATTTTGACTCTTTACTTTATTGCAACTGGAAGTACTTCAATCTGATAAGATTTACAACTTTTCTTGAAGAACACTCAGAGATTTATTAGGCTTTTAGCCACAAGTTCATTGGTCTAGTGAATCGAAACTGGTAGTAGTCCGAGTAACAGTGCCCAAGAGGGGCGCAAAACCAATCTTACACATGCACGCTGAAAGAAATATTTCTTTCGATTTGTTCACCGCAAGACTATGACTATGAGCACGTACCTACATGTATGTAGAAAATGACGAATTTGAAGGGAACTATAAAACCTGCACTACAAATGTTTCTGAGAATGTTTGCCTGAAAATGTCAAGCAATACAGGTACAATGTACATGTACTGGCAACCTGGTCTTACTCTAATATAGTGGCCTAGTTGCCAAGTTTGTTCCCAGAAAAAAAACATGGACATTTCATTTTCCTATGCATGTACATTTACAGTAATACACATCTGCACGTATACAATGTACATTTGGGGGAAAATGGCAAGGTGGCCACTTGTTGGATACCGGTACATGTGTCAATTTGTCTCTGGTCCTCCCTAACCTCACTCCTTCTGATTTGAAAATCACAGGTGTGTGGAAAAACGCACACCTGGATTTTTCTAGGCGTGTGATTTTTCTAGGCGTGTGATTTTTCTAGGCGTGTGATTTTTCTAGGCATGTGATTTTTCTAGGCGTGTGATTTTTCTAGGCGTGTGATTTTTCTAGGCGTGTGATTTTTCTAGGCATGTGATTTTTCTAGGTGTGTGATTCAGTGGTCCAAGCTGGGACTGAACAATCTGGTATTTTTTTCTTCATAATATTCATCTTGGTTTACAATAAAGCCGTTTTCTCTTCACCGACATACTTTATTTTTCACAAATTATGAAGTATAATTATGCCGTAAATGTATGCCAAGGTGTGCGGTACTGAGGGATTCACACTTCTCAGGAAGCATTTAGGCGTGTGATAGTGTGGGGGTGTGATCGCTCGCCTCAAAACAGAAGGACTGCTAACCTCACATAAAGCTACAAAACACTACAACTTAGTAAACTGTAGTATGAAATACTTCAGCATATATACATGTATGCACAACATAGTATTCTGTAGTCCTCAATTCTTTATCCCAAAGTAATGGCTACGATGTTAGGGTTACATGTAAGTGGCTGCTCTACATCCTTGACTCTATTTCATTCTACATCTAAACGGAAAACCTTTTGATTTCACTACATGTATGTTAAACTTTCAATCTACTTTTTTTCCTCCATGATTTAACCTACATACTGTACAAGTTAGCTAGAGTTACAAGTATGCACCTGCACTTGAAAGAAGGCAGCATCATATATATTTTCAAACATGTTTTGATGGCTGGGTATTACAAGCCAAGTGTATTTGAAACATGTCTGTGGGTGTGTTCAAGTGTTATGTCTTCGGGCCGAAAGCAGCGTGGCTACTTTTCTGATTGCTGATAATTTATGGATGCAAAAAAATGTAATGCAAAACATGATTTCTGGGCGAGGTACGATTACTCTCAATTTGCCCTCAGAGACTACAAGTAGGCCTCCATGTACAGGTACGTGACAAGAATTTTACTGATCACATTCTGTTGATATGTACTGTACAAGTACATCACATGTATGTATGTGAATGTTTTCGTGTTTGAAATTACAATGTCTGGTACGGCACTTAAACCTGACTTAATATGCACTGCAGTTTAAAGCTACAGTCCATCATTTGCAGCCATCCGAAAAAGTAACTGGCGTATTATTGTTGAAAAACATACTTGGTTGAAAGAAAGTAAGTGGACTAAACTCCCTGTGAAATTAATCTTTCTGGCAAGCTACGGTATCATGTTGAAGTAATCAACGAAAGAAGGCCTTTCCAACG